GTGTGTGTGTGTGTGTGTGTGTGTGTGTGTGTGTGTGTGTGTGTGTGTGTGTGTGTGTGTGTGTGTGTGTGTGTGTGTGTGTGTGTGTGCGTGTGCGTGTGCGTGTGCACGCGTGTATAAGCACTCTTTCCAATAGAGTGTCTATGGCGCCACACGTACGTGCAGCGGCCTATTGTCATGCTTGTTCTAATTCGCGACTGTGGTTCTCGTCGAGTTTTTTTCGCTTCCCCCAATAAAATAGGCAATCACAAGGATGTGCTACATAGGCATTGTTATGGAGCAGACGAAGCACACTGGTAAGGCTGCGTACTTACATGCTGGTTTGGCAATGCGCACAGGTTTTCGCGACTGCCTGCAACCTTCGCCCGCATGGAGAGAGTGCAACGGAATTACTTGATGAGTCTATCGGCGATGGGGAACCATCATGACGAGTGTAGACGCCATCCACTGAATCTCATGCCGGCGGTATTAGCACCGATTGGTCGCTGGAGTATCGAGCGGAACGGAGCTGAGGCACGACAGCAGTCTCTTACTGTTTGTCTCGAATATAATAACAAGTGTCAAACGACATCCGTAAATTGTCGTAGTCGGCTTTTCTACGAGGTATCATCGTTCGAGGGCTCTCTTAATCGCCCTATTGAATCTAGTGTCCATGCTGTTGCCAACGACGGAAAGCCGCACTCGCTAGCGACAACAGCAAAGGAGTGTACACGGAATTCGCGGCAGACAGACGCAGTCTCTCAGCGTATCGACCACAGCCGGTCCTATTTGTTGCCAGAGGTAGGCATCCCATATGTAAACATTGATTTGGTGCTGTGAACACGTTGCAATGCGTCCATGCAGTCTCATTGTTGGCCGTTATTAATGAGAAGAGGGAGGAGCACCGTTAATTGAGCGAATTCGAATACGTGTGCTTCTTAGTGTTCTTATTCGTGGTTTTGCTTCGAGATGCCGGTGCTAACGTAGAGGATAGTTGCTTTCTAGATTTGTTTTTTCGAATTTATAATTGTGCTTTCCTGTACACTAGGCGTATCTGTAACTGCAAAAACAGTTGTGACTAAATGATTTAATCAAGTTGTGAATTTTTATTATCAAGATGGCTGGTAGCGACGTTTCAGTCGCCCTTCTCACCTGAATTTGGCCGCGTGAAATTTTAATTCTAGCTCAGAGTGAGATGATTCCGTTGTCCCATTATGGGTTTGAAAATATCTCATATGTAAAACGTTGACCTATTGCTACAGCTCGAGCTGGACAAGGCGCATACAATGTGCTCTATATGAAAATTGTCTTGGCAGGTAATCGACTACGTTATATATGCGGCCTAATCAAAATTCTGGAGCGTACTCCTCCTGCAGAGGCTAGACAGTTGAATCCTATTTGTTTTCCCAGTCGTTTGTTTTTTCGCTGGGAGTTTCGTGCAATATATGTATGTACACTTTATGGACATATGTAAAAACACAAGTTGACAAAGACAAGTTGGAGACAAAGCAATATTCTCTCGTGCTCCATCCGGTCAAACCACTTCAGTGACGAATGTAGACTAACTTTGCGACCCGAACCCATCGAGCTGAGATATTTAGTCGACGGCATCTACAACAGTAATAAGACGTCAAAAAAAAAGGTTGATATAACCTGCCTTTCGTGATCTTGCCCTATCGTCACAACAGATATTTGGGCATGTAACTTGAAATGCAGGAATACTGTTTTGGCGGCAAGGAATCGATGTGAGAAACGAGAGAGCAAATGCTGTTTACGTACGTACACATACACACAGTACATACGAGGTCAGTAGGAAAATGTTGTTGAACATACTTAAATATAATGTTCATTATTATATTTATTTGTTTCGTTTTCTTTTTTTTACCCGTCTTAAAATCAGTTGAAACTTTTTCGATAGTCTTGAGTTTGTCGTGAGTTACGTTGTATTCGTTTGGTTTTTGGCTGTCTCGAATAGAAACAGGTGCCTGTGCCGGAGACACCAAATAACGGGTCAAACACCGTAACCTTGCCTGTACGCAGTCTAAGTGCCTGCATATGAAACTTTCAAACGATAAGTGAGAACATTTTAGCTAGTATTTCATATTGAATCCAAGTAATTCTCGCGTGTAGTTTTTTTCTTCGCCCTCTCAGCCTTCCTATCGCATGGTTTGCACTTCAGCTGTTGTAACAAACGCTGCCTAGGAGGTAGCCGTGTATGAAGGCGGCCCCATACATTCTAAACCGAACTCCCGCAGGCCTCCGCGGGCCTCCTGGGCTAGCAAGCACTAATGGCTCGTCTTAACATATCCACTACTCTTTCCCATTACCGTACAGTCTCTTTATCTTTTATCTGTAAGTGATTCATTTGTTGCCGTCGATCATCTGGCTGGAGTGCCTTATTTGAACGATTTTTTGGACGTGTTGTCTGCCATTTATTCCGCTGACGGCAACGTCGCCGCCCAGAAGGTGATCTTTTTGAGTAACGAAAGACGCGAGCCATTTGGTGCCAGACCCAAAACCCGCGTCGTCCACATACAGTCGCTTGCAAACTACGTTATGCAATTTGGTCGTAGGCGTCTCCTTTCAGCTTACAACTGGCGCGAACGCGCAACTGCGACAATTACGTCGTCCACAATAGTCTGCCAGTAGCAGCATATTTGTGTTGTTTTGCGTGACGGAAATCGTTCAGATTATTTCGTTGATCTTGGATTCGTCTGGTTACCATAACCCACTTGAACCGCCTTTGAATAATAGGTATCTATATTGTGTCGCGTTTAATTCTTGCCAATAGAAGAACGCTTAGTGTAAAGGTCAAGAAGCGATGGGAAAGCTGACGGCTCTAATTTCGATATAATATGGCGAAGTCAATGAGCCGAACGTATGTCGCCGTGGTTGCAGGTAGTTTTTGCACAATGACATGTATAACAGTAACGTTTAAGGGAACTTCAGTGCAGGTCGATGTAAATCACAAAACACTAAAAAAATTGATGTTGTTTTGTTGCTTGAATGGAGAAAGCGCAGCGTTTCTTCAGGGATTATATGTGGTATAGGCTTATGTAGCGAAAGGCTGCAATGCAACAACCTAGGCCAGTAATTGGGTGAAATAGCAAACCACTGAAGAGGTCTGTAATATTCTCTTAAATAAGGAAATAGAATACGATTTAGAAAAATGATTGAGTTGATTTCGAGTTTTCTATCGATCAGGTTATCGAGCGGGCAAGTAATATGGCGGTCGTATATCAGGGCTAATCTGTACCACTGCACGCACCGTCACTAACGTACGTTGACCAGTTTTGTTAATGTTAACGACTTTTGATTCCACTTAGGCTAGGTGTGTTGCTGGGGGGATAGCTTTAACCATTGCTTTTCTGTAACTCTGTCGAGTCCTGCGATTTCCTTCATCTCTCTAGAATGCCTTAGAAGAGCCTAACATTTGACTGTTATGTCTGACAGATATGATTACCAAAACTTGCGCGGAAAATGGCTCTGATTTGTACATGATGGCTATTAGTTGGCCAAATAGAGAGGGAGCTCTCGACGCTGCCAGTGCACACGTCTTCGACTTGACGCGCGTTTGGGAGCCTGCTAACGTTAGCTAGGACACCCATCATTTACATAGCGCCCGCTAAATATTGGCAGCGAATCATTTAGGATAAACAAAAGCTAAATCTCTAAGCAAAATGTTGTAGGTGAGGAGGGCATGGGCAGATCCTAGATGACTTATCATTTGGGATTTACACAGACGTCTACGTGGGTAAATACGCGAATCAAATCCGTCGTAACTGGCAGTGACGTTACAGATATCAATATTTACACATTAAACGTTTTACTGTTCGAGATCTAATGGACACCTATTATTTGTTCAACAGTGAGACAACTCGTTCTGTATACTATAAGTTCGACCTTACAAATAGCGTGAAATAGATCGTGACCCATTTTGAGAAGATACTGCAAGACTGCTTCACGCTGAGGGTCCGCCGAGAAGGCTTGCCCGAACTCTGTCTGCAGAAACAGCCAAAGGTTAGACAAATAGCCAACTAATCGCTACTATATCTGCACACCTTTAAATGGGTTTCAACCTAAACTAATCGGGCCGAATGATATAAATTCAGTAGGGCTTTGCTAATCAAGTCCTAAAAAAAAGTTTAAACATCATTTTGTTTTCTTGACCATTTCAATTTATGCATTACTCTCAAAATACATAGTTATTTCGGGATTTGCTCAATGTTGTGCTGAGAGCTATTATGAAGCTGCTGCCGAGATGGGCACATAACATGTTGATACCTCTTCGCGCTCTAATACCGTGTACTTGTAGAACTTGGACGACGGGTCGCGCAGTTGTTTGCGAAGCTTGCCTCTTTCTAAATTTGTAAAGGATTGGCGTCCTAAGGTTTTAGAGTACTTTATGGAAGGATGCTTGACACGATCTCATTACGCGAGTCCAATTTAGTGCTACCAAACGTAACGTGCAGAGCTGCCCGACAAAGTGATCTATTATTAGTCACAACTGTATTATATAGAACCCCCGGAGCGCAGCTGCACGGCGATCTAATTGCTTATCCGAAACGAACGTCTCGAGCCAGAGTCAACAAGACTTGTGAAATACCGTCAGCGAAAAAGAATTATGGCCATTCTTTGAGCGACTGCTACGGGCCTCGCCACTGTACACAAAACCGGTCCGCGGCAAAAGCATCTTATCAAGTCGTAATCCTGTTGACCTATTGAACCATTCTACAAAAAAATAGCATGCGTGTGTACTAATGGGTAGAGGTTAACGGTCGTTGAGAAGAAGGCAAGGCAAAACTGACCTATCACGACATCATGCTTCCCGTAGGCCAGAAGCTTGAAAGAAATACCCAGCGAGGCAGAGATAACAAAATCATTTTCTATGCTTTCCCTTTTACAAGCCGTCTCCTACTATTTCCTTATTGTCATTATATAGAAGCACACACACGTAGAAACAGACGTCTAACAATACCAGCTCTAGGCTCCTCTGTTGGCCGCGTGCAACACCTTTAGGTCATGGATATCCACCTAGGTATTTTTTACTCGCTCAGCGCCTGTGCGCAATGACGACATAACATGTCCGTTCTTTTGCACAGACATTGAAGTTTGGTTAGTTGTTTCATCGGCATAAGATTTTTGGCTTCATATTAACGACAAACTAGGACTTAGCATAAATTAGAACATTTCGAGGCTGTTGAAGACATGATAACATCTTACTAGTACGATTAACAAGAATAACTTCCAAATATTTGTGCTCCCAGAAACCGTCGAGACGAAACGTTAAAGTCAACTTGATTGAAAACATTGATGGATGCGGATGTGTCTCGCGCACCGTGATAAATGGGTGATAATTTTCGTGGAACCGATATATTGGTTTAACAGCGCTGGTGATGGGTAAGTAAAGCGCAGGACTCAAACCACAAGATGATGAGATCACAAGAGTTAGTAATTTTTCAAATAAAGAAGATTGTCGATTTTAGCTTCCCGTTTTATTACGTGTGACCAGAATGGATATTATTATCTTTATTTGTAATTTGTATTTAAAATTATTTCCTACTTTATCATAAGCGTTATAGCCCCGGGGCGCAGATAGCGGTACCGAGAACATAAAATCATTCATGTAAGTTGATAATTTTATGTTAAATAGCAGAGATCACTTTAATTACGAAATGACGCTCCATCGTCGAGTTCCGGCTAAAAGTGCATCTGCTTTTCAATATCTTCGTCTATAACACTAACGAAACATGTGCCTACAAGCTGATACGCATGATTCCCAAAATGTTTAGCTATCCAACGCAGTGCGCTTTGTGTTCATTTCGATTTCAATTTCAGGGTCGTTCGGTCAACAGTAAACGTGTGGCCTCAATTCTATCGCCTCCAGAACTGACATTTGCCAGGTGGTCAACTCAGACTTAGGCCGACAATTCACATATAAGGGAAGTTGTCATATTCTGATTCTGTCGAGAAGCAGGCCGCGAACCGGCATATTCAGAGACAAAAAATGTGGGTACGGAAAACTCTCGCGATGAGCCAGGGTTCGCTTTTTGTTGCGGTCATCATGGCAGCAGTTGCAGTCTCCGGTGAGGACATATACAGACAGGAGGAACGAGATTACGCGTACAATAATAGCACTAACGATAGTTCAAGAAGGTGACAAATGGGCTTTTGTTCTAGACTAACGAACACGGAATTCCTAACGTGTTACTGGTAATTCTGGGTTATCCGCGAAGTGTATCTGTTTCCAATATTTTTGTTTATTTCATACCCGGGATGGCTACTTACGGCACATAATACGCATTTCTAAAAAATTGACTTCTCCACAAGAAAGTATCACCGCTTTCAATCTGCTTATTGACAACATCATACATTTGTAATGTGCCGAATAAGCGCATTTTATAAAGATGATATACTAATAAGAATAGAACAAAAGATTACGAGCGCGATATCTAAGGTTTACATCAATGTCATCGCATTCAGGTTATACCAGATGTTACTTTTGGCTGTGGTTCTACGGTCCTTGGACGAACTAGTATCCGTATAAGTAACAAGTTCGAAAAAAATCGTATCAAAGGAATTTTACAGCAAGTACGTATTGGGGTTCTTCTATATTGGCAGAAGCGTCTACTAATGATATTTTCGAAGTACTTCTACGACGTGTTGTTTCATTATGGTTTGATCGATATTACCTATTTCCTATTTACCCACACCATTTGTTACTGGAAAAGAACTTGAAACGTGAATGTTTTTGACTAAGTGTTAATTGGTTTTACAGTAAACAAATGTTCGATCGTCGATGCATCCGCCTATCGAATTATTACTTCGGTATCGCCCAGTCGCAGGCACAGTGCCTGCAACCTTGAATCGTCACTCTTCTTTTTGACACAGAACGTCAAATGCCTCAACAGATTGCTTATCGTCAAGCGAAGCCTCAAGCAAATCTGCTGACAATTATAGTAGAAGGAAATAGGCATCATTTCGCATCTTAGCCCGCCGTTTATTTACAAGTATCGGCTTTTTGCCAAGAAAATTAGAAAAACTGCGTCTATCGTTCGTTATATGATTCTTATTAGCTGAAGCTTTGCGAAAGAGTTGCATCATAGTTGTAGACGTCTCGTGCTCCGTGCTGTCGTGTTCTACGTTGGTCGCGATACTTCGTCGGGTTTGTTTACGCGCAGATTTTTTTAGACGGAAATCCATTAGACGCTACCGCAATCCATATGCACTATACAACCGTACCAGTAAATCGAATAGTCACGTTCACGGTCACCATCCTTCAAGTTCCACTAACGAGACGTACTATGCAAACTGTGCGAATAAAGAAAGTTATTGTTTATGGTCACGAGGCTAGCAAAGACCTGTCGTCGGCGCTATGTTCGTAGTTTTTGATGGAAAACAGATACTATACGTAGATAGTTTGTTTTCATTGAAGAACTAGCAGAACCTAAACTTAACTGTCTTAGTTGTGACATATTCATATGCATGAAGTAGCGGAGACGCCGTAACACTTAGTGCAACGTTAGTGGGGTCGATGCTTTATATAGCTTAACGTTAGAATGCAGCCATCCCGGTCGGTTATCTACGCAGAAACGTAGCTTAAACAATCAACATTTATCACGCGTTTGTACCAATAGCGTTTGTGCAAACGGCCTACGCGTCATATGGGCGTACACAGCGTGACAATAAGTACTATTCTGGCGTCCCATTAACCGGAGAGATTGTGGCTGTCTCTACGTGACACAATGATTGAATAGGGTACATCTAAATAAATAGTATTCTTATTGTATTTATGCGTTAGGCGAAAAAGAAGAATCATAGAATTCAGGTTTAAAAAAAAAATCAAATAAAACAATGCCAAAACCATAGAAGTGTTAAAATGAAAAGTTTGACCGATTTCACCATTTCTTTAGCTTCGTATAGGTAGACTGAGATAAATGAGAACGTCGGTTGACCTTTCTTTAAGTATCATACACGATAAACACTATTCCGGTTTTGCTAATAGCTGCTTATTGTAACTGGAAGCGATTGCAGCCGGTAAAAAGCATCCCGCTCAGCAAAAAGCGTTTTAACACTTTTTTTTTTTAGCTTATTTACTAACGGTTTTAATTCATTTGTTTATAACGCAGTGGTCTGGAGCTTACCACAAGCGATTACGTTACCTGATAGCACTGTTCCCTGTACCGATGAAACCTGTGAGATGGAATGCACAACGGCCGGAAGCACCAGGGGCGAAAATGTCACTACGACATCAAGCTGTCAAAAATCCAGCGGTATGAATGTCTATTAACCTGTTTATAGGATAGCGGATGCAGTGCGTTTGGATAAAGGTTATCAGAGAGCCCGCAACGGCTGAAAGCCGACCTCTCTGCCTCAAACACCGAACATTCAATCTTTTAATAGATAAATAGAGCTTTCTTATTTCTAGTTGTAGGTAATGGGAAATAGCTTGGATTTACAGAATACGAATACAATACTCGAAGCTTTCTAAGCTGCATGTGGGTTCAATACTAGTCAAGCTGCACGCAAGTTGTTACAGACCTTAGTCCCAATCTCAAAATTGAATAAATTATTGGGGACGATGAAAAAAAATCAGAATACCTCTATAACCCACTTTATACGATTCTGTATACAATACACATTTTTAATTACAGGTGCATGCAATTGTTGTATATTACCTGACTGTGAGGTAACCTGTCAAGAAAGACGTCGCAAAGAACGACCTCGTTCGAAGGAGGTACGTGTATGTAGACACACATGCAGCATGTTGATAAACGAAGTTCATCTCCATGTTAAACTGGCTATGCTTCTGTGTCAGTAAACTACTATACAAGGTGTAAGCAATTTGAAGAATAGCATATGTCGCAGTTAGTTTTTATTTTACGTCCGTCAGAGCAGCAAGAGTTCTGCGAATCACTGCAAGGGAGAGCATATTTAACTGAAAACCATTTAGATATTCTCATCATACTATGTTAAAAGACGGTGCTCTGGGTATGTCTGTACTGCAATAGTTACATTAATGACTACGGCGGTGATTTAAATGGTTTGATTGACTAATATCAGAATCTTTCGTAGGATGCTTCAAATCTAGGGTGCACAGACAAATACGTCCCTTTATTGGAACCGCTTGTGCATCTCCTGTCAGCGGATGCGAAACAAGAAATTTCATATCTTGATCTTGAGCTCTGCAGGAAATAAGGCTTTCATGAGCCTAATGATACATGCTCGAGATGCGGAAAACATATAATCACCTCTTTAGAATATCCGGCAACTCGTATAACCTGTATTCCGGATATATATATATATATATTTTAAATGCATTTTTAATTCTGAGTTAACTCTTTATAGGTGCGCAGTCGATGTACGGAGAAGGCCGAATGTTACTGCAACTTCCTGTGGTTCGATACAATGGATGATCCGGTGAATTCCCCCTGACCAGAGCTCCGGTTCAGATGAACAGCAGCCTCACCCACTAAATAGATATCGAATAGTAATAAATAGATACACCTTATTATTGTTTCTGATATATTATCACAGATACACGTACTGCTTTGTAAAATTTTATATTATTATTTACTGTTTTTGGTGGCTCGGCTGCAAGGATAGGTTGCAAGGGCTAGTACGATACTCGTGACATGGCCATTTGGGCCTCCACTTATTCTAGACATTGATATTATATAAAATATTATACATGTAATTTCGAAGCTTGTAGACAGCGCAAATAGGGAAAGCCATGATAGACGGTGTAGATGACTAATCCGTGATGTTACAGTTGGATAACAGGAACACGAAACTCTTACACACACACATATATATATATATATATATATATATATATATATAAGAACGTTTATTACGCGCTATTACATGAGTGCTAAATGAAGAGATAAGTAGATAAATCAACGCACTCCTTAATTTATAGGATGTCAAGATTTACCGCGTCAGCTACTTCGTTAAAAGGAACAGAAAATGCGAGACACAGTGAATGAGATCAACTGACAAACTGACAGACCGAAAAAAAAAGGATAAATAGGGATTGTGCTATGAAAAGTAGCACCATTGTAGCATAGAAATAAACATGTAAAACAATAGAACTTGAGTGTATGTGTCTTTCGGTAAATGTTGGCTTTCTTCTTTGATATAGCTAGCTTTGCGTAATGTCTGTCCATAAATTCACACGTACGTACAGAGGAAGGCAAGAGCCTAAATTAAGATTTTTTCTTATATTTAAGCCAAAACGATTTCCCGATGAAACTTCATCTATGTGCTGCAAGCATATCCCTAACGGTCATACAACGACCATTATTCAATACAACCACTATCTACTTTGAATAGGAGTCAATTTTAGAATATGCATTATTTAATTCACAAGTAACTTTTTGATAGTAATCACACGTCAAAAGATATGAGTAGGTGTAAATTAAACACTTTACATATATTAAAATTTTGAAGCAATTACATATTGGGCTTATAGCAGGCTAAAAGCCCTAAGAATGCACTCAAAAGGACCAGAAGGGAAAAAGGTGTAAAAAGTCTCTAAAAGGCTCATCGTTGGAACTTGCGTGGGTGACAAAATTGACATTGATATTTTCCTTTCAAAAACAGCCATTAATTTCTGTATTGAAAACTTAAATTTATCTAAAAATAGAGAATCTTCTGATTTGCCTCATGAAAGTCAACCTTGGATTTTTCAGAAACTGCTAAAGAATGGAAACACGTAAGTCGTCGATTTCGAGAGAAAAAAAAAAATCAATTTTGCTAGGGGTTCATCCAGCGCGAAAAGATTGTATAATAGCTGATTTTTGCTTACATCCCGAAAGCGACACGCTGTTTCTTGTTTGTTGTTTAACTTTAGAATGTAACCGGCTTCTGTCTGGTGCGATAAGTAGCGGACACCCGGTATGATTAATATGAATCCGAATGTACTGCTATATATATATATATATATATATATATATATATATATATATATTCATAAAGATAGCTTTCCTTAATCGCACAGTTTGCATTCTATGTGCCGTTAAAGGAACTTAAAACAGCGACCCCAGTGGCTAAAAGCTTGGCCATTAAAACTATCGCGTTTACACAAGTATATTTCGAGTTCCATATATAGATTTATAAAGTTTGTAAACTTAATATAGCTGATACGTTCTCACATGTGAACGAGTAAGATTATTTAGAATTGAGTGATCAATTTGTTTTTACCCTTATCCGATCTTCGGTCCTTTCAGCTTTCGGTTTTTGAGACTAATACAGGAGCGATGAAATATGCTTTCGGCCTTGCAGCCACGTGTTCTTCAAGTTCACATTAATAGCATTTTTTCTATCTGCTTCGGAGAATTGTGTATTTACACAGTTCTCCAAGATTAGGGCCTACATATATGTCCATATTAAGGTAACCCTTAAGCTTTGTTCTTGTAGTATAAACAAATCAGCTGTTCACGCTGCCAACGACACAAAAGCAGAAAATGAAGGTTCGTCGAGTGCTGAGTTTACGAAATTAAAAAAGAAACACAATAAAAAACAGATTTTTTTTTGGCTTTTTTCGAAGTATGGTAACTTTATTATAGTAGAATCTGAGCTGAATCTATCCTTCGTTTATCTGGACTGAAACCTGGAGTGTCACGAGCGGCGGGTTCTGCTGGCAAGGGACTTCATCATCACGCAAAAAAGTAACGAAGTTGTAAGTTAGTATTTTTATGAATAAGCGTTTTTGAACAGAATTCATCAAGCAAAAACTGCAATGATAACCAAGATCAAAGTAACGTACGTGAAACCCCTTATAATAAAATCCTGACTGATTAAACCTAATTTTAATAAATAAAAAATAAAATAATTACTGTGATATCGTTGCCTGTCGGCGTGGCAGATCGAAAAATCACAGAATAACCCGAATACGAGCCAAAACACTAAATAACGTCTTGCACAGCCAATGTAGGAATAATAATGTAATGAAATGTGCGTAATTATCCATAAAGCTCCTCGAGATTCATCATAATAATTTATAAATGATCATTATGGCGCGGTTTTTTACGGCAGAAAAGGCATTCTTCCTATAGTAACCCTGCTGCACCAGAGCTAAAGAGACTTGTGAACGTATTATGCGAATAAATAAGCAAAAAAAAAATGACACTCCCGATCTTTTCCTGATATCTTCCATGATTCAGACATACCTGTCTCTTGATCTTTTGAGTCATTAAGCGAGTAATGAAAGGGCTCACAGAAAAGACTAAAGAAATGACGACTGTTGTTTTAGAGAAGAGCGCATTAGCTGACGAACCCTTGTTGGGCTAATACTCCATAAAAATGGGCAGGTCATCTTGCCGTCGAAGAATATAGAGCCGGTCAATTTCTGCTGCTGGACCAAATTCTGTTGTACCATTACAAACCGCGGAATCTCCAAGCAGGTCTTTCGAGATCGGCCAAAACAGCAGTATTCACTCGCTGCCACTAAGGCTCTTCGGGCTCAGCAAAACTGTCTATCGGTTTGCATCTTGTTACATGCCGGAAAGAGGCGTCTGGGCGAGGATCCGGAGGCGCATTTGCAGTCGTGGCAATCGTCATCGGGCATAACCTAGCCACGAACGCTGTATACCTTAGACGTCTATTAAATCTCCAACGCGCCTTTTTCGCTAAGATAGCCTGGATCTTGTCGGGCCGCTATGCGTGACTGAGTAGAGACTATTGCATCCATTTTGTTCTTTTTTGCTTCTCTCGCTGCTCGCCGCGCGACAGTTCGAACTTTATTTGCTTAGTAGCGTATATGTAACAATTGCTACGGTTGACTAAAGGTATTCATTACGGCGAGCTTCTGTTTCTAAAAAACAACCAGGTTAATTTAAATAGAACAAAGAATAAAAAGAATAACATATCAAGTATTATAAGGATAGTCGAAAGGTCTAACGTTTTTCCTATGGCATCCCGATGAATATGGCGGAATTTGGGGCCCGTCAAGAAGATCGTTGGCCTTGATGGTCCTCTCCCAATCCAGTCTTATGAACTTTGAGGTGGCTCTTTACATGGCCGGATTGTGTAAAGCCCTTCCCACATACGGGACAGCTGTACGGTTTTACATTTTCATGAATTCGCAGATGGCTGACAAGATGACCGGACTGGACAAATGTTTTATCGCACATTTTGCACTGAAATGGACGTTCACCTGGATAATGTAGATAACATTCATAGATAACACAGTTAGAATTAAACAGCAACCTCAATAGATTAATTGGCTCCACGCGTTAAATCACACTACCAAATAGCTGAAGCCGGTCAAGAAGAGTATTTTTATTTGTAATTTTCTTGGATTAGATTAAAAGCTGCTATACAATATTGACTAACGAATAACTGTTTATTATTGCGCCTCACGATGCAAAAGCATCAAATAGATGATCGCCGACTGCGTAAAATTCAAGGCTTACCGCTATGTAGGCGTTCGTGATTCCGGAGATGCCCACTCTGGCTGAACTTCTTCTCACAGTATTTACAAGCATAATTTTTTGTTGATGTATGGGCGTTAACGTGCGAAGTGAGATGCCCTGACTGGGCGAAGCTTTTTCCGCAAAATTCACAGGCATATGGACGTTCACCTTCAACAGACAAACAGTTACTTCATACTCTTGTATCAGTATTATTGAATCAAACACGTATCGGTAAAACGTTCTGCCTTTATGGGCTGAAGGTTGACTCACGAGAGGGTTTGTGCTACCGCTCTCCTGCCTGCTCGCTATCTACAAGTCGAGTTTGAGAGATTATACTTCTCATTATACCGCATTTTGCGCATTATACTTCTCTAACAGTTTAAAGTGAAGCACTTTAGTCCATGTTGGTTTGGTTGTACCTGAAAAATGCTTTCGATGACTGACAAAAGTGATGGCACACGTACACTGAATACGACATGCAAATACCTCGTGGGAAATAACTGGCGTTTAGGGGATTGAGGAACGAAGCTCATCAGTTCTAGAGAGAGGCTAGCGTTCTGTGCGTCATGCTGTGTGCAAACCCTTTTCGGTACGAACGGTAATTATATAAAAAAAAAAAAAAATTAATCATATAAAACAATAAGATAAGACTTTACAGCGGGGCAAAGCCGAAACTGAAGGCACGACACTAATTAATTACTACTACTACTACTATTACTACTACTATTACTACTACTATTACTACTACTACTACTACTATTACTACTACTACTACTACTACTACTACTACTACTACTACTAAGATCATTAGTATTCGTATAGAAGAAATCTCTCACCAGTGTGCACGCGATGATGATTACGAAGATGGCCTAGCTGTTTGAATGATTTCGAACACTCTGAACACTGATGCAGAGTCTCAGACTGACGCTTCCGACGCTTCGACGGAGTCGCATCTTGCTGAGAATTTTGTTTTTCATTTATTCTATTTCGCGATTACATGCAAAAGATCGTTGTTATATAGCATATTTATATTGTTGCTACTGGAACAAACTTACAAGTTAAAATAATCCGTACAGTTCATCTATATACATGTTAAGGAAACAAAACGTTAGTTATATAACCCCAACCAGCTTTATTCGCTCCTTTACAAGTTTGTGGTGTTGAAATTGCATTAAACTCCATTTTGGAACATTTTTATATGGTGTCCATCAGACGAAAAGAGTGTTGTGATCTATATGCGGTATTTACCTGGATGTCTGCTCAGGACTATTCATTGATGGAAATGGGCTTTCTTGCTGAGCTTCCAGATGACCAGAGAGCTTTTCGGGCACTTCGTGTGTTTCGGACCTATCCAATGGTGGGTTTTGTTCCGTATGTATAAGCAAGCTCTGTTTTAGCTCGATGTCCGCCAATGTGTGGTTGATAAGACCCCTCGGCCCACAGCTGCTTTCTACTCGTTCCAGACTTTTGGCGTCATTATCGACGTTGAGATTATCAGTACTTTCCGATGTAGGCGAAGTTTCAGAAAGTAATGAATCCATTAGGTAACGATAGCTTGTATCTGGACTTTCTGAGGCGAACAAATCCTCTGATAGTGTTTTCAACCCTTCGCAAATAAGATGCGTTGTGAGTTGCGAGTTAGTTTCCGAAAGTTCTATCAGTTGATCGTTCGTGCCCGTCGCAGAGAGCACTGGCGAATTCGAAGTTCCGAGCAGAGGTGCTGGAAACACCATTATGTGAGGGTCTGTGAACCCTTCCGCTGAAAATTCTTGTCCTTTTGCAGTCTCCATGTTGAAAGCTTTCAGCCTAAAAGGCCCCGGTCTAACGGATGATTAAAGGTGATTCTTGCTAAAATCTACTTAATGTAGAACGTTTCGAACAAGCCTGAAATGAAATAACACTAATAATAATATATTTAATTACAATTATCTCATAAATAATTTCAACTGTATCAAAATATGTTAACATAAACAGTCATTAGTAGATAGTTGGTTTTTCGCGTGCACACCTTCATCATATGTACATTAAATTAGACATTCTAATTAAGTATTGGGCGATTTAAATATAACGTGTAATATACTTGCAACTGTTATTGGTTATAGATATCACCGACAGCTTATCACTAGACAAATACTTATCACTCTATGTAGAAGCTTATCAATCTGAAGCCTAACTCCATGGAAGTTCAGTAGTAACGTGTTTGTGTAATCAAGTTAAAGACACCTACCGATGGTACTGGTTTGAAACCGAAGCGAAGACTCACTTTGTTTTGTGCTGCAAAGAGCGACCGATTTGAAACTACCCCTAACGAAAGTATAAGGCATAGATCACAAAATACTTATTTTAACATTAAGCCCAAAGAAAGCAGTTCCGAACTAGCGTCCTACAACTTCGCAACTACCACAGACATAGCCGCGCAGGCCACCGTAGAAGTTCACTATGTGTAAAGAAAAATAAATAAATAATTACACAGCCACTACCACGTGGCAACTGCCAGTTACATCTTCGTTTAGGAATGTCAATTTTAACGAATGAACTTAGATCACTCACAGAAATCAAGCCGTCATCTGCACCTAACCTAGATAGTTGCCGATCGACCGAACTTCCAACGATATATATGGTGTCTTGATGATGATAAAAATGTCTGAATTTTATCGAAAAAGTTGTTATTGTTTATCATTCCATAGGAAGACGCTCAAAGAAGTTAATAATTCTGCAGATCAAATCGGAAGATACAGCGTAGCTATCACACTCAAGGGCTAACCCTTTGACAGCCACCTCCCGTCATGCATAGGTGTTCCAGCTAAGCGTATTTCAATATGGACAGTACGTATCGAACTTACCAACAACCAAGTTCCGTCCGACGGCTCCCAGCACGAAATGAATTATGCCTATTAACTAAAATTCGTTACATACAATGATGTCTTGCAATGATGTATTTGACGCTAGCGGCTGCTTACGACATTAGCGGACTGATATACTCTGCTCTAAGAAACCAGGTGGCCATATATTTGCTATCCTGGATGCAACCAGGTATATGGAACTGCAATATTAAAAGCTTCTTTACATTATTAGTGGCATATGCTCTTAGTTAACATGGAACTTAAGCATAATAGTCTTTCTGTATTTCGAGTTTTAGCTCCAGTATCGTCGTTAAGCAAAAGAGTTTACCAGCTGTTAAGTCAGTAAACGGCAACGAAGTTCCGCGAAATTTGAAAAATACCATACTCTGCAATCAGGGAGTTTTCGTTTTACATCCGTCAGAGTAGCAGGAGTTACGCGGATCACTGCAAGGGAGAGCATATTTAACTGAATACCATTTAGATATTCTCATTATACTATGTTAAAGGGCGGTGGCCTAGGTATGTTTGTACTGCAATAATTACATTAATGACTACAGCGGTGATTTAAATAGTTTGGTTGGCTAATATCAGAATCTTTCGTAGGATGCTTCAAATCTAGGGTGCACAGAGAAATACGCCATTTATTGGAACCGCTTGTGCATCTCCTGTCAGCGGATGCGAAACAAGAAATTTCATATCTTGATCTTGAGCTCTGCAGGAAATAAAGCTTTCATGAGCCTAATGATACATGCTCGAGATGCGGAAAACATATAATCACCTCTTTAGAATATCCGGCAACTCGTATAACCTATATTACAAATATATATATATATATATTTAAAATGCATTTTTAATTCTGAGTTAACTCTTTATAGGTGCGCAGCCGATGTACGGAGAAGGAGGAGATTACTGCAACTTCCTGTGGTTCGATTCAATGGATGATCCGGTGAATTCCCTCTGACCAGAGCTCTGGTTCAGATGAACAGCAGCCTCACCTACTAAATATATATCGAATCATAATAAATAGATACACCTTATTATTGTTTCTGATATATTATCACAGATACACGTACTGCTTTGTAAAATTTTATATTATTATTTACTGTTTTTGGTGGCTCGGCTGCAAGGATAGGTTGCAAGGGCTAGTACGATACTCGTGACATGGCCATTTGGGCCTCCACTTATTCTAGACATTGATATTATATAAAATATTATACATGTAATTTCGAAGCTTGTAGACAGCGCAAATAGGGAAAGCCATGATAGACGGTGTAGATGACAAATCCATGATGTTACAGTTGGATAACAGGAACTGGCTTTCTTCTTTGATATAGCTAGCTTTGCGTAATGTCTGTCCATAAATTCACACGTACGTACAGAGGAAGGCAAGAGCCTAAATTAAGTTTTTTTCTTATATTTAAGCCAAAACGATTTTCCGATGAAACTTCATCTATGTGCTGCAAGCATATCCCTAACGGTCATACAACGACCATTATTCAATACAACCACTATCTACTTTGAATAGGAGTCAATTTTAGAATATGCATTATTTAATTCACAAGTAACTTTTTAATAGTAATCACACGTCAAAAGATATGAGTAGGTGTAAATTAAACACTTTACATATATTAAAATTTTGAAGCAATTACATATTGGGCTTATAGCAGGCTAAAAGCCCTAAGAATGCACTCAAAAGGACCAGAAGGGAAAAAGGTGTAAAAAGTCTCTAAAAGGCTCATCGTTGGAACTTCCGTGGGTGACTAAATTGACATTGATATTTTCCTTTCAAAAACAGCCATTAATTTCTCTATTGAAAACTTAAATTTATCTAAAAATAGAGGATCTTCTGATTTGCCTCATAAAAGTCAACCTTAGATTTTTCAAAAACTGCTAAAGAATGGAAACACGTTAGCCGTCGATTTCGAAAGAAAAAAAAATCAATTTTGCTAGGGATTCATCTAGCGCGAAAAGATTGTATAATAGCTGATTTCTGCCTACATCCCGAAAGCGACACGCTACTTCTTGTTCGTTGTTTGGCTTTAAAATGTAACCGGCTTTTGTCTGATGCGATAAGTAGCGGACACCCGGTATGAACAGCCTAGCAAAGTAAGCTATCTGCACGGTCACGGAACGTACCTCCGTCCATCTGTTGAAATGAACCCGCCTTTTTGTCTTGTCGGAGTGGACACTACAGACAGCTAGGCCTCAGGCTCAACGTTATTTGAGTTATTACACGGGCTCAAGACCGTGTTGCTAGAGGAGTCACTGGAGTCGCGGTCAGTCCAAGAGTGGTATCCAGGCCGCGAAGAGAGATTCATTCCCGGCTTCGCCACCAGAGGCAAGTCTCCAAAAAGGCGACTCCCCATGCAGGGCGCTCTGGCCGGAAAGCCCATCCTTCTGCGTCTGCGGCGCCAGCATCCCTTAATGATCAAGGAAGCTTATGCTTAGATTTGAACTAGGGTAGAGTGAGGAGTTGCGTCTGTTGATCTTTGTATTTTCTATGTAATTAATCTCCTGCAATCTCCATCCTTTCAATTGGGTTTTTAAGTTTTGATCCTTCTAGGCCGAAGGCCTTTACTCCCCTTTTTATATACGGAAGCGTTTGCCAGTGCGTATTTAGATGCGAGCCAAGTTGGAGTCTCGGGAAACGAGTCGCGCAGTGTACGTAGCCTTTACGTAGGCCGCAGCAGACAAGTACCATATTCAACCTACGCGGTATCATTGGAAAATTGGGTTCAGAATGGAGGCTGCTCGTCTGGTAGCGTGAACGAGTGAAGATAACGTATCAATTATATAGTGAGAGCAAAAATATACACTATTTCCTCGCAGGTCGGTCATTCGCCTGCCTCCAAAATTGGAACCTTGCCATTTTCGCAATATGCTTATAGGTAGAGCGCACTAATCATAGTTGTAATAGACATCAATCAGCTTACTGACATAGCCAAAAATGAATCCACGTTTTCATACAGGAATAATACAATATATTTACTTAGTAGCATATATGTAACAATTGCTGCGGTTGACTAAATGTATTCATTATGGCGAGCTTCTGTTTCTAAAAAAACAACTAGGTTAATTTAAACAAAATCAATGGTAAAAATAATAACATAAAGATGGTCCAAAGGTCTGACGTTGTTCCTGTGGTATCCCGGTGGATATGACGGGGCCTGGGGCCTGTCAACAAGATCCTTAGCCTTGATGATCCTTTCTCAATCTGGTCTTATGAACTTGAAGGTGGCTCTTTACATGGCCGGATTGTGTGAAGCCCCTTTCACATACGGGGCAGCTGTACGGTTTTGTGTTTTCATGAATTTGCACATGGCTGACAAGACGACCGGATGTTTTATGGCACATTTTGCACTCAAATGGAGGTTCACCTGGATAATGTAGATAACATTCATAGATAACACAGTTAGAATTAGGCAGCAATCTGCGCAATTGTCAACCTAAATAGATTAAGTGGCTATCCACTGCACGCGTTAAATCACACTATCAAAGAGTTGAAACCGGTCAAGGAGAGCATTTTTATCTGTAATTTACCTAACATAGTAGATTAGATAAAAACCTACTACACAATATTGATATTATTATTACGTGCGTCTCATGATACAAACGTACCAAATGTATGATCGCCGATTACATAAAATTCAAGGCTTACCGCTATGCAGGCGTTCATAGTTCCGGAAATGTCCACTCTGGCTGAACTTCTTCTCAGTTATTACACGCATAATTTTTTGGTGACGTATGGGCCTTGACGTGCGAAGTCAGATGCCCTGATTGGGCGAAGCTTTTGCTACAAAATTCACCGGCATACGGACGTTCACCTTCAACAGACAAAGAGTTACTTCTTACTTTTATATTAATATTATTGGACCAAAAACGTATCGGTAAAACGCTCTGCTTTTATGTGCCGAAGGCTGACTGACAAACAGGTTTGTGCCGCCACTCATCTGCCTGCTTGCTATCTACAGGCCACGTTTTAGAGAATTTAAATGTGCGCCTTATATTTCTCTAAAACCTTAAAGTGAAACACTTTAGTCCATGTTGGTCTGATTGCATCTCAAAACTACTTTCAATGACTGAAAAAAGTTATGACACAGTGCACTGAATGCGACTTTAAATACTTCAAAGGGAATAACTGGCATTTAGAGGATTGAGGCACGTGCAGTCGTAAAGAACGAAACTTACCAGTTCTAAAGAGAGGTTACTATGCATCGTGCTGTGTGCAGATTCTCTCCGGTTCGAACGGTAATTACATAAAAAAATCAATCATATAATTCTAAAAGGTAAAATTTTACATAGAGACAAAGCCGTTTTCTGCTACGTATGAATAAAAAAGCTCTGCTCCTGCTCGATGTTTGCCAACGCGTGGTTGGTATGACCCCTCGGCCCGCAGTTGCTTTCTACTCGTTCCTGATTTTCGGCGTAATCATCGACGTTGAGGTTATCAATGCTCTCCGATGTAGGTGAAGTTTCAAAAGGTGGTGAATCCCTTAGGAAACGATAGCTTGTGTTTAGATTTCCGAGACGGACAAATCTTCTGATAATGTTTTCAACCCTTCGCAGATAAGTTCTTTGTTATATTACGACTTCAAGAAAATTCTCTCGGTTGATTACGGGCGCCCGCAGAGAGCGGGAGCAAATACAACGTTTTGATTGAAAGTGCTAAGAATGCTATATCAAAGACCTGCGGGCTTCTCCGGGGAAGTTGTTCTTTGTTTGCAGTGTACGTATTTAGAATATTTTGGTCTAAGAAGTCCCAGTCAAATGGACGCTAAGAGGTGGCCCTTACTAAGTCCTGTATTACTATGTACTAAGTCCTGTACTACAAATACCTGTATGTACTAGCACGAAACTTTTATAATAAAATATAATATCGCCTATAATAAAATAATAGTGTTGGACGACCATCAAGCGTATCGTCAAACGATTGAACGTTTTGTACTTCTTCCTTGTACATCGAGTTACATCTATCTCACGGAGAACTGTAACACAATATTTCAATATAAACAGGTATCACGCAATGTAATAGATACTTGGTCTCTTACATGCAGATTAAAGAAGTTTTTAAACTCTTCAATGCATAAACAAACTTTCTTCATCAAATTAGATACTGAGGTAAAGAATAATATCACCGACTTTTACACTAGTACTAGACAAAAATCTTACCATCTTAAATAGAATCCAATTAGCATCAAGTTCGGCCCCGTGTCGTAGTAATATGATTGCTAAGCCGACTTAGAGGTAAGCCCTGGTGGTGCTGGTTCGAAACTGAACGGCAGACGCACCTTATTTTGTGCCGGAGAGAGCTATTAATCCGAGGCAACCTTTAACGTACCGGGCGTAAAACTAGAAACATATATTTCAATATCAAGTTCGATGCGACCATATACCTCACCGCGAGTTTCGAACCAGCGTCCTACGACTTTGCAGCCACCACACGTGGCGCCACGCAAATCGCCGCAGAACGTTGTTATGTCTATGAGAAGAAACGTGTAATTACATAATCAGCACTACGTGGTAATTGGCGCTCAGTGGTGTAGTGATATTTTTATTTAGCCAATGTTTATTTAGCCAAAAGACAAAAAAACTTGGTCGCTCATAAGTACAAAGCCATCATGCATACCTCGCTTAGGTAACTGCCCGTTGACTGAGCTTTCTGAAGCTCATAGAAACAATCACCTTAATAAAAATATATGGCCGCTGCCAAGCAATAAATCGTCACCGATCCTTTAATGGCGGGAATATGTTCACCGTCAATGTGAAAATCGACCGCAAAACGACCGCGACTTCATCAACGATCCCAGACGATGCGGACTAACGTGTCCGGCATGGTCTAGTGGCTAGGATACGCGGCTCTCACCCGCGAGGCCCGGGTTCGATTCCCGGTGTCGGAAATATTTTCTTTGTTCCCGTGCTAGATTAGTGGTCTAATTTTCTTTGGCTCAAAACCTGGTCGACTTAGTACTTCTCGTGATGGCAGCCAGCTGTATGGCGGAATGCCGAAAGGCGGTGCAATATTCATTTAATATGTATGGTAAGCTATCTGAAACAGTGACATTGAAAAGGGACTGCCATTTACTTTTACGTTAGTTATTTAACCGATTATTTCATGGTGGTTTATCTTAGCCTTTTTTAATTAGAGTCGCTACCTAAACGTGCCCGAATTTCTTCCCACTACTGGAAACAGGCCACTGTTACTAATGGTAAAAGTAGAAGGGCCACAAATCGTTGCAATGAAGTCCATACTTCACCTAAGCTGAAAGGATACATTAAACAGCCGACACCTCTAAATTATGTCACGAATGGTGTAAAAACATTTCAAAATAACAGACGTTCACTAGCAGAGTCGACTGACGGAGGCTGGACATACGATGCGAAGTGATTTAATTAGTAGGCTCCACCATTTGAGATAATATCCGTTGACCTTTGACACAAGCGGGTTAAACTGATTCCTAATTAGAGTGACTTTATATATATACTTTTAACATAAATAAAGATATGAAAAATATACATAAATATATAAAAATAAATAAGTCAAAGGCACTTTTTTATAAACTAACCAAGGGTTCGCAAAGTAGAGCAATACAGAAATCTAGCAGACGAGTTATTACAATTAGACGCTAATCGTACCTGAGTAGAAAGGGCCTCGAAAATAAATTAGGTTGACCCTTTACAAACTATTTATTCAAAAAGTGATAACTATGGACAGATCAAGCCCCTTATATACCAACCGATAAATTTTAACCGGTCTTTTCTGGTTTGTTTCGCATTTATTCAAAGTATCAATATGAAGTTGTTTTCATTAATCATTCGTGAGAATTTTGCAAGCTGCCAAAGCCGCATGACGCCTGGTATTGTGACGCAACTATCTCATTTGACGGCACGCTTTTTCCGTTTAGGGTTTTTTGTTTTTTCTTTATTCCGTTTCATGAATTGGGTCATGCCAGTCAGTGATGTTACACAAATGCTTACTCAGCGAGATTAGCAGCTCATCGTCGTCTGTTTTAGGCGGCCATTAAGCACTTGCTTTATGATTCGAATCGAGATCGCCAGCTCCAAAAGCGCTTGCTTAAGCCAGTCCTGGCCTACGTTGGTACTATTTGTTTTGCTTAACGTCATGCATAGTTCCAGATGTCTCAGTATCACCATTTCCGGTTGTACAGTGGTGAAGATTATAGTATCAGATATGCAGTGTTTAGGTTATTGTTTTCGTCCCACAAAAGAACGCTTACCAAGGTGCAAATCGCGTAACAAAAGTAGAAAAGTAATTGCATAATTTATTTGTGTATTTAAGTGGTATAAGAAGACGGTTGATAAAGGCCATAAGATAATGCCTTATGGTTGGTATACTTTCACTCATGACTAAACACTTCATCATGCTGGGTAGTTATTAGTGGTAATTTTGAAATCGCGCCCTAAAATACCTAAAAAATATAGTTTGTACGCATATGAAACATACAAATATATTTACTCGTAAAAAGGGGCACCTAATCGCAATTACACACATTACAATTACCTGTAGATTACCTCCCCGTTTCATTAGGCCGTACAAATTCACTAAGTAATATCTCAGTTTTTCGACTTAAGGACGCATAATTTTTTTCATTGAAATATATTAATTATTTTATTGTATTTTTAAACTTTCCTGACAGATTTCTAGTAGTTCGCGGTCACAATGGCTGATCTTAGCTAGACAGTTTTATTACGAATCCTGCGAGAGGATTGTGGTGGTTCGTATAGGGTCCGCTGTTTCGGGGACGTTGAGTCTCATTATAATACGGGCTCATCTAACTGCTAATGGTTAGACGATTAAATGCTCCAATTTAGTTACAGGCTTCACTACAGTTGGCTGCTATTAAATTAGATCCGTCTAGTGGCCTATTCATTGTATAGCAGGATCAAAATTTGCTTATTAGGATTCAGAGCCTAGGTTCAGTGGAGAGAGGAGAGTTGAGAGCATGCTGACATGGCTCGCTTAGCTAGAACAAATTATTTTCATAAACTGAAAAATAATCCTCATCGAGAGTAAATAAAATTATATATTTTCCGATAAATCAACGTTCCAATTGAAAAAGGATGGAAAAACGGTTGTAAAGATAGACAAATCAATTTCACATCCTAGTGAGAAGATTATATTAAAATTCGTTTAGAACGATCATAGCAGCGTACAAATTATGTTTCTCACTCGTTGGCTAGCGCCCCAGATTGTAACACCCGAATCCGGCGAAAACTCTAACTACAAAGAATAATATTTCAGTCTCATAAAAGGCAATAATCGTAATAATAAAATCCTAAAAATACACGATTTGCGCACCTATCATCAACAATAAAATAAAACAAATATAAACATTTTTAGTTTATAATTCTATTTAACGTACTGTATATCTATGGCTTTAGGATGGAGACTGACCGCCACGCATAGATCAATCCTAAAAAAGAAAACGATCTGTTAACAGATAGACGTGGCTGCATTTTACGCCCTGCTCAGGGTTAGGCCGCGTATCGGATACGTCGTTCTGACATAAATTGATTAGGACTAACCATACGCGGGAAAAGTAGCACGGGTGATTTCGTAAGAAGAGAAGTCGGCCCAATAAGGCTCTGTTCTGTAGCTATCTAGTTAGCCGGCCAAACATTTGCTTGTTGAGTACCTGACTTAAACGACAAAGTGTTTTCGTCTATTGTCATTTTACATAGATTACATAGCACGTTTTCTTTTTGTTGAACTATCACTAACAACAAAAGTAAGTGCTTGCGCAAAAATAAATGTTTTGAACTTCACGCACGCTCCTTCTAGATCTTTTTTAAGTTAGCTAACGTACGTCAGCAATTAGTAAGAGGCGATGATAAATTGACCCTTTGGTTTCAACCTATAACCACTGGATAATATTTATCCCTCGAATCTCAGTTTACCAAAAGCATTCAACTGAAACATTTTTAACATTACAAATATTCGACACAGCAACAACTTAAGCGTATTTGTTTAAATCAAGCCAAATAAAATAAAAAAAAAAATTTAAATGTTTTATAGATTCGATCTTTCGAACACCCGCATAATTTCAGCTTATCTTCCTCTACAGAAAATCTCGACGCCATCAATGTAAACTTCCTATAGAAAAACGTATACCCAAAAGAACTCATTGTAGATTAGTCATAGTAATAATTACCAGAATAATAACAACAAGAATCGTTATCGACAGACGTTTAGGTAT